CTCAATACTAGGCAAGCCGACAATCTCAATAAAACTCCCATATCTTTTAAGTTTAAAAAACATAATATTTAAATACAATATAATATCCCACAAATACTGATAGAACACTCCCCAAAATCTGGTGTCACTGAGTACATGAGCATCTATTATGAATCCAAGTCTGGAAAATACGGTCTATAATAGTGTGAGACCAAATGTAGTAATTAAGGAGATAAGGAAGGAGAGGCAAGGTCTGCGAAATACGGCAGCTACCTCTGAATCTTCGGAAAATTAACTGTGCGAAAGAAATCAACACCCGCTATATCCGGGAACACCTGAATCTGCACACGAAGTGCAGGGTGTAGTATGAGTACAACCAACTCAGCAAGTAACAGTAATAACTAAGGAACTGAAGATAGTAATGAGCTACATAGTTATAGTTCACTTTCAGTAATTCCAGCAAAGAATAGACATGCTTTCAAATCCAGCAGTTTAAGTCAAATCAATTTTATACAATTCATATTCATGTAATCCGGATATAGAATCTTTCAGAGAATTTCACAACAATGACAGATAGTAACTAAATGCAACAACAAATGAAAAGCAAGTACAGCCTCTCAGGCAACAGTCACTCAACTCGTCACAACAGCTCAACCAATCTGCTCTCAGACTTAGTGGATACCCGCGCTCATCAGGGGTGTACAGACTCCGGATGGGCTCCTACAACCCAAGCGCCATAATCTGCATGGACAACTCACGTGCTGCACGGATACCTCACATGCTATAATATCCTGCACGGATAACTCACGTGCCATAATATCCTTACCTCACTGACAGGCCCTCAGCCTTACTTAGTCCTCAACCTCTCTAGTCTCTCGGGCTCTCAGAAATCACAAAGATCAGCCCAAACAAAGATAACATAGTATATCAACAAATATCATGAAAGACTGAGGTATGATACTCAAGTAAAATCATAACTAAGTACAAGACAACAATTAACCAATAATTCAACCAGTACGCGACCTCGGTCGGTCCCAACAGTACCATCACATAGTCTAAGCATGATTTCTAATATGATTTATAGTCAAATTTCTTCAACACATAGAGAACATATAGCTAACAATAAGTTATTCAACTTTACAGTTTCACGGGACGAACCAAGTCACAATCTCCTCGATGTACGCCCACACGCCCATCACCAAGCATGTGCGTCACCTCCAAAATAATCACATGACACAAAATTTCGGGGTCTCATATCCTCAGAACCAGATTTAAAACTGTTACTTACCTCAAGCCGTGAAATTCTTATTCTGCAATGTCCTTTCCACGTGAATTGTCCTCCAAACGCCTCGAATCTAGCCATAAATAATTCGTTTCAGTCAATAAAATTTATTGAAATTAATTCCGTAAGAAAATGCTAATTTTTCATAAAAATCTAAAATTTAGCTTAAAAATCGCCTGTGGGGCCCATATCTCAGAACTCGATAAAAGTTACAAAATTCCAAAGCCCATTCAATCACGAGTCTAACTATATCAATTTTATCAAAATCTTGCCCCAACTCGACCCTCAAATCTTCAATTTAAACCCAGAGAGGTTTCAAACTTTTTCAACTTAATTCACCAATTAAATGATAAAAATAACTATGGATTAGGGTAATTTAACCAATATTGAGTTAAGAATACTTGCCCCGTTATTTTCCTTGAAAAACTCCCGAAAATTGCCTCTTCCCGAGCTCCAATCCATCAAAAACTGATTTTCAGAACTTAAACTCTCTGCCCAGACATTTGCCCTACGCGATTGCGAACATTCCCATGCGATCGCGAAGAATAATTTTCCATCGCCTAGATTTAACTCTACGTGATCGCGGGCTTTCCCACGCGATCACGATCCATAACATCACAGACCTACGCGATCGCGGACCTAACCATGCGATCGCGAAGAACAAATGCGTGATTTCCATTTCTGCCCCATTTTCTCTACACGAACGCGACCTTCTTCACGCGTTCGTGAATAACAAACTCACATAGCTACGCGATCGCGTCCCGCTTCACGCGAACGCGAAGCACAAAATATCACTGCCTCAATTAACCCTACACGATCGCAGATATCCCCACGCGATCACGTAGAATAAAAACCTCCACTAACCAACTAAGCCTACGCGATCGCAGACACGTTCATGCGATTGCGTAGAAGGAAAATAACATCAAATATTAGAAAATTCCAGTAGTTGTTCAAGTCCAGATTTTTGATCCGTTAACCATCCAAAACTCACCCGAGCCCCTCGGTACCTCAACCAAATATACTAAAAAGTCATAAAATATCATACGAACTTAGTCGAACCCTCAAATTATATCAAACAATGCTAAAACCATGAATTACACCCTAATTCAAGCCTAATGAATTTTAAAATTTTAAGTTTCCACAAACGACGCCGAAACCTATCAAATCAAGTCCGATTGACCTCAGATTTTGCTCATAAGTCATAAATGACATAACGGACCTATTAAAATTTTCAGAATAGGATTATGACCCCGATATCAAAAAGTCAACCACCTGATCAAACTTTTCAAAAATTTGACTTTCGCCATTTCAAGCCTAATTCCACTACGGGCCTCCAAATAATTTTTCGGACACGCTCCTAAGTACAAAATCTCCATACGGAGCTATTGAAATCATCAGAGTTATATTCCGATATCGTTTACACATAAGTCAATAACTGGTCAACTTTTCTAACTTAAATTTTTAATTATGAGACTAAGTATGTCATTTCACTCCGAATTCCTTCTGGACCCGAACCAACTAATCCCATAAGTCATAAATCAATTGTAAGGCATAAATTGAGCAGTAAATTGGGGAATGGGATTATAATACTCAAAACGATCGGTCGGGTCGTTACAAGACTTAAGATAGACTATCTAAGTGAAAAGTATGAAAAATGTTAAGTGGCTGTTGATGTATTTTGCCTTATTCAAAAGAAAGAAAATTAATGCGTAATGAGTCTGGTAGTGGTATGAGGATGCATGCATTAACTAATTCCATTTGAATTTTCCTTCATATATTACCAATGTATTTGGTTACTTGGATTGTCATTTCTATCGATGTTTATCTTTTTATTTAGCACTCCTATTTATTTAATTTACTTAGAGTTTAGATTGTAGTTTCTATTTTTTGATCTCCCGAAAATACTAATAACTCTTTGTAATCCCAAAAAATCTCCTAAGCAGACGCTAAATGGATCTATTATTATTTAAGAAGGTAGCCAAAGGATAACGTAAGGCAGTGCAAGCTAAATATATATTGACCTTCATATTAAGAGATATGATGAATATCTCTTACTAATAAATAATATTTAAATAGACAAAAAAAATAAAAAAAGAAGTACAAATAGGTAAATATTTAATCTTTTTTAATTTTAGTACATGGGTAATTGATTGTTTGCCGTGTACTACATGACTCGGATACACGTGCAACGCACGTACCGATAAACTAGTTAGTTTTTAAATAACTACGTTGCTTAACAAGTGTTATTTTAGAGTTGAACCAGACACAAGAAGGGAGGTTGAATTGTGTCTTACCCGATTTTTGCAATTTCTAAAAATTTGGTTCCTTGAACTAAAGCAAACAGACACAAACAGAAATAATTGAAGAATTTAAACAACTCAAAAAATTTTACGTAAAAAACCTCCTTGATCAAGGGACTCAACTTTATTTATTTACAACACTCCTCTTTAATTTTTCCATGTTTGTTTCTGTAAGGGACTCGCCTTCCATCTATAGTAACACTAAAGATGGCTAGGCATAATTCAATGTTTAGACCTGCAAACATACACACTCAACAAAACAACCAGGTTTACTGATCAACAACATAAGCACATACTTAACTTCTCTCTTTTGGCATCATCGAAAATAAAGCATTAGTTGAATCAAAAAGATAATATTAATAGTATGAAACTCATGGCCACTGAGGCTACATCACATAAATAACTAGGTCAACAGCTCAAATATCTAATCCAATTAATCATCCAAGTATGATTGTACAAGTAGTAGCCAAATCAAGGAAATTTCCTCTTTCATCTTCTCATTGTCCTCCTTCAGCCTTCTATTCTCCTACTTCAAGAAGGCAATTTCCTCTTTCATCTTTTCATTATCCTCATCGGCAGCAACTAACTCCTCCAGAAGGTTTGTCACCATGCTTTTTCTTCTAGTGCCATGTGGTCATGAAATACAATCACATTCCTTCAAGGTCTCCTCATAAAATATATCTTTGTTAGTCCCTTTATTATGACCTCTTAGAGAAACCCCAAAATTCTCAAACACCCTAGTCAACAAGAAACCATATGGCAGGGCATGCATCCCTTTTTCTTGATCAGTTGCCCTTGCTATGTGTTTGTTCATCAGTGAGGGCCGGTTGATTTTCCTATTCTAATCGAGCAGTTTTAGCATTGCCAGGTTCAAGTAAGTAGCCTTATGCCTCCTTTTAGGAAGAGGCAGCAAATATTTTTTCACAGATTTGAACAAGAGCTTGTGAACTAGTTTAATCTCCCCCTTTTCAAATTTTCTTACAGTCACCTTTTCCTCTTCTATGTGTACTTGGAAGTCAAGTACATTGCATATTCCTTCTCTCCCAACTTAGGCCACTCACGCCTAACATAGGTATCAAAACCTTCCACTGGCACCTTCAGTATCTCACCCAACAACTTGGCATCAAGAACCAGGTCCACTCCCCTCACTTCAGAACTCAATGTGCCATCCTCCATCATCTTGAATTTCTTATAAAAATAAAGCATCGCTTCTTCATTCATCATAGGGAGTGGGCACAAAAATGGATATGTCCAACCATGATTCTTAATTTCTCCAACAACTCCTTCATACCAAATATGTTAATAGTAGCAGGGTCAAATACCTGACCCTTCAACAAGATTAGTCCATCAAACCAATCATCTCTGCCCACATGAAAATTTTCCTTTGAGTCTTCTTTCTACGTTTGGAACCGGTTCTCTTCACTTCAGATGCAAAAATGTCATATTTTCTTTTTCTGGAAGACCTCTCCTTGTAGTGGATGAAGAAGATTCAGCCTTTTTCTTTCCTTTTTTCTGAAGAGGGACTTCCTCCTCCTATTCTTCTTCTTCTTCTTCTTCTTATACTCTACCTCACTCACTAGATCAACCTCCTCCACATCAGACTTATCTACTAGTCTGAACTTATGACTACTTTTCTTCTTCTTCTTACTCTCATCAAAAGTCTTCTCAAGTGAAGTCTTACTTTTTCCTCTAGTATTAGGAGTTCTACCTTCAAGAGTAACAGACTCTAGAGGCAACACAACCTTCTTGGCTATAGCTTTCACCCTCCTAGAGGTGGTTTTTGCCTCATCCCGTCTCTTCTCTTTCATTCTGGCAATCAGATTTTCCAGTGCTTTATCATCACTACTGGTACTACTTTCTTTCCTCACTTCTTTCTCTCCTACCTTTTCTCTTTATTCCTCAGTATCAGCCTAATCAAAAGATTCAATATTTTTTGGATCAGCATTCAAAGAACCAGGTTCTTGAACCTGATCAGTATCTTCCTCATCAACTTCTAATGCAATCTCTTCTTCACCCAAGTCCCCCTCACCAGTAGCAAAAGGACCTAGTTTTTGTCCAAGTACCTCTGGTGCTTCTACTCCAACCCTAGTACTTTCCTCCCTCAATTCTTCCTTGGGGTCTGCCATGGCTACAGACTCCCCACCTACATCATTATCTCCTCCCTCACTCTCCTACTCTCCTAACTCCTCACCCACTACTTTAGCTTCACCGTGAGTCTCAATTTCTACTACCTCACTCTCCTTCTCTTTTTCTCATACCACTTCCCTTTCCCCCTGAATCACCTGCTCCACTGCCACATCGACTTCTACTTGTTCAGTCCCAAACTCCTTCACTTGTTCAACGACTTCTTCCCCCTTAATTTGTGGCTCCTTGATAAGTGTGAAACTTAACCATTTATTAGTATATTCTTTTTAGAATTTTTAGTCCAAAAGTACCAATTGTATTCCCAATTCTAATGAAAATGGTTGACTTGCAGGTGTGCTGGAAAGGACTTAAGGCCTTGGAGCAAGAATAACACAAAACAAATAATCCTAGTCATATCAGTAAAGAGGAGAAGTGAGAAGAAAAGTGCAATCCCCGAAAATAGAACTATGGCCGCAAAAGTATTTGCGATCCGCAAAAGAAGAAATGTAGCTGCAACAAATGAACTAAAGCTTCAGAAACTTTAGGCAAAAGTGCGATTCGCGAAAGAACATTGTCACACCCTACACCTAAGTAAAGCTTGATAAGTGTGGCTTCTAGTGCAACCAATCAGCCGTCAACGCGTTTGAGGGCAGAAGATGGCAATACATTTCATTAGACTTGCGCAAACTGTCACCGGGTGCAGTGACCAGGGCATGGCGACCTATTTATGCATGTAGCAGCAACGGAGTTTTCTAGATTTAGTGTAATATAAAAAGAAAGTGCAACACTCTTTCTCATTCACTTTTTAAGGTATCACCAATGTTAGTTCTCTCAAGTGCTCTCAACACTGTAATAATTTAAGACAAAGTTGAAGGCGACTCTGAATCTAGAAAGATCTAGCTTAAAGGAGTTGGGAATCATTTCTGTAATATTTATTATCTTGTTGTGTCAATTCTGGAAAATTCGTTAGAGGCAGGGTTAACCGTCCTAGAGGTGTAGCTAGTTCTTCAACAAGGTATGTACGGAAACTTTCTTTCTTGGCATGAATTGGTGTAAATCTCTCTTTCTCCCTCTAAAGATTTCTCTATTGTAGAATTTGCTCATTCTGAGTCCTTCTCAATGACGTTGTTCTGTTCTTCTGCATACTTGCCTGTGGCATTTATTCCGAAGTCTATAATGTTTCCAGTTGGTAGCATATGGTCGGGGAGTATGATTTATTCTGAGTTTAAACTTGTTTTCCCTTGAAACTACTACTAGATTGCACTTATATATATATATATATATATATATATATATATATATATATATCTCTTTTACTTTGGCAAGCCGCTATAGATGGTCAGGTATGGAACCTATTGTGCAACCACTTATTAGTTGGGTATGATGGACATGATATGAGATATTACCGAGCCCTTGTGTGGCCGGGTACGATGATGTATGATGTGAGGTTATCGAGTCCTCTTAAGGCCGATTACGGCAATTTCTGCTGAGATCGGGTACAGCCGAAACCTCCTGAGGCCGGATACGACTGAGTCCTCTACGAGGCCAGGTATGGAGTGATGTGTGATGTGAGGTTACCGAGCTGAGTTCTAGCTATTCACTTCTGATCCCCGTCCTGTTTATGTTTATAGGGATGCATACCACGAGACGTCAGGTGCTTGTCCAAGGGTTGAATAAAGAAGCAGGAGAAGGTACCAGTCAGGTGCCACTGTCCCTATGGGTTAACATGGGCCTCACGATGAGGCTGGTATTCAAGTTTTGGGGACAACACCACCACCCCCGGAACAACAAAGAGAGACTAATGTACCTCCTATTACTCCCTGGTTATTCGCAAGCTAGATTTAGATATGAGAAGTGTAGTACAATTGTTGACTCGATTAGTGGCCTCTCAGGCCAAACGATAGGTCCCTGCCACAGTAGATAAAGCAGTCAGTACAAGAGTTTAGGATTTCTTAAACCTAGACCCCTCGGAATTTATAGGAATAGATCCCAATGAAGATCCCCAAATTTTTTTAGATCAGATGCAGTGGATATAGCTGTGACTTGGTATGATACTTGGGAACATTCTAGGGAATCTCTTGTCCCAATAACAGGATGGAAGAAATTTTATGAGGCGCTCTTGCAGCAGTATTTGCCTGTTGAGCTCCGATGAGCAAGACAAGATAGATTCTTACTATTGGAGCAAGGTAATATGAGTGTCCGAGAGTATAGCATGCAATTCAACTCCTTGGTTAGGTATGATCCATCAGTTGTGGCGGAGATGAGCGACCGGGTACATCAATTTGTGGGCGGTTTAGGACCACATTTGATTATTGAATGTACTACTTATTCTTTTAGCCCGAACATGGATATTGATCGTATTCAGGCCTATGCGCAGAACTTGGAGGATTGTAAGAGGCAACAATAAGCCGCTCGAGATCACGACCGAGGCCAACATAAGACAGTCCGGTCTACAGGTGATACAAGTGAGTTTAGACCTCCGTTTCCTCGGCATCCATCTCATCCAGTGGCTAGTGCAACATTATAGTTCCAGGGACAATGACGTGATTAGACTACCTACCCCGGTCAGGGTCATAATCCCTGAGGATAAAGATTACAATACAGTGGAGACCCTAGTAAGATAAGGTCCCCGACGTCGCATTGTGGATGATGTGGTAGAAATTATTTTGGGTAATGTAGCAACTGCCAGCGAGAAGATGTATAGGTCGAGGTAGAATATCTATCCCGGGTGGTCAACAGCAAAATTGTATCTATGCGTTGTCGGGTCATCAGAATCTAGACTCATAACCAGACGTGGTCATACGTATATTATCTGTGTCCTCTATTTATATGTATTCTTTGATAGATCCATGTTCCACCTTGTCGTACATTTCCCCATTTGTTGCGAGTAAATGTGGAAAAGAGCATGAATTGTTACGACAACCGTTTGAAGTGTCCACGACCGTGGGCAAGTTTGTGGTAGTTAAGCGGTTATATCAATTAGAAATGGTAGAATTTTATGTTATTATGATCACTACACTTTGGCTGATTTGAATGAATTAGAAATGGTAGAATTTGATGTTATTATGGGAATGGATTGGCTAGCCTCTTGTTATGCAATGGTGGATTGCCGGTGGAAGGTTGTTGGCTTTTATTTTCCAGGAGAGCCCATTACCAAATGGAAGGGCGATGTCACATCGCCAAAAAGAAAGTTTATTTCTTACCTTAAGACTCGAAAGATAATCACGAAAGGATGTTTCCATCATTTGGTACGAGTGCAAGATATGGAGGCGAAGCCTCCAGCCTTTCAGTCGGTTCTGGTTATTAGCGAATTTACCGATATATTCCCTGATGTGCTCCCGGGTATTCCACTCGAGAGGGAGATTGAATTTGCCATCGATGTGCCACCCAATATGCAACCGATATCAATTCTTCCGTACAGAATGACTCCTACCGAGTTGAAGGAGCTAAAAGGTCAGTTGAAGGACCTCCTTGATAAGGGCTTCATTTAACCTAGTGTTATTTGTTCAAAAGAAGGATGGTTCATTAAGGATGTGTATTGATTACCGATAACTGAATAAGGTGACCATCAAGAATAAGTATCCACTTACAAGGATCCATGATTTATTTGACCAATTGCAAGGCGCTAACTATTTTTCAAAGATTGACCTCAGATCTAGGTATCATTAGTTAAGGAACAAAGAAGAAGATGTTCTAAAGAAAGCCTTTCAGACCAGATATGACCATTACAGGTTTCTTGTTATGTATCTTGGTTTAACCAATGCACCGACGACCTTCATGGATTTGATGAATCGAGTATTCAGGCCATTCTTGGATATCATTGTGATCGTGTACATTCACGATATTTTGGTATACTCTTGATCTGTGGCATAACACGCTGAGCATTTGTGAAAGGTCCTATGCACATTCTGGATTCACTAGTTGTATGGAAAATTTTCAAAGTGTAAGTTCTGGCTGAATTCGGTGGCTTTTCCTGGTCATATAGTATCGGGAGAAGGTATCAAAGTTTATAGTCAAAAGATTGAAGCGGTTAAGAACTGGTCAAGGCCCACAACTCCTACCGAGGTATGCAACTTCTTGGGCTTGGTCGGTTACTATCGAAGGTTTGTGAAAACTTTCTCATCTATAAATGTTCCATTAACAAAGTTGACACATAAGGCAACAAAATTCCAGTGGACCGATGTTTGTGAGAGGAGCTTCCAGGAGTTAAAGGACAAGCTAATCTAGGCACCAGTTCTCATTCTCCCTAAAGGAACCAAGGGGTACGTCATATATTGTGATGCATTTAGAGTGGGATTGGCGTAGTGTTTTAATGTAACATGGGAAAGTCATTGTGTATGCTTCGTGGCAACTAAGGAAACACGAGCAGAATTACCCCACTCATGACTTGGAACTGGCAGTTGTTGCATTTGCTTTGAAAATGTGGCGTCACTATTTGTATGGAGTTCATGTTAACATATTCAATGACCATAAGAGCTTGCAATACATATTCAAGCAAAAAGAATTGAATCTGAGACAACGGAGATGGCTCGAGTTGTTAAAGAATTACGATGTTGATATTCTATACCACCCCGGGAAGGCAAATGTTGTGGCTGATGCATTATGTCAGAAATCCATGGATAGTCTATGACATGGGGAGAAGCATAAATTGGAGATGACTAGAGACTTATACCTACTGGCCAATCTAAGCATACGATTGCTTGATATCAGTGGCGGAGGACCCGTAGTTCGAAACACTACTGAGTCCTCATTATTAACTGAAGTAAAGGCACGCCAATTTGACGACCCAACATTGGTGAAGATAAGAGAAAACATCCCCTTTCAAAAGAAGCAAAAGTTCCAGTTGTCCTAGGATGGAGTCCTCAGATACAAGGATTGGTTATACGTACCCGATATTGGGGGACTCCGAGAGCAGATCATGGCAGATATTCATTTGTCCCGGTATTATGTTCATCAGGGATCAGCCAAGATATATCACAATCTTCAGTAGCTATACCGGTGG